GAAAAAAATAATGATAAATAATGAAAGAAAAATATAATGTCTACTATCAATAAGCAAAATGTGCAAAATTATCTTCAACTTTGATAAGTTTCAATAAAAGACCTATATTGTATTCATTGATCCAAAAATAAAATTATACTTTGTTATTATTTTAAAACTATATAAATTTAATTTCTTTCGCTTATAATGTAATAAAATATAATATATTGTATAAAAATATAATTATACTCTATATTTATCTACGAAATACAAAATTATTATCTGAACTTGTGAGTGCTATTTTATAATTCCTTTTACAATTTTTTTTATCGTAGAAGAAAATTATCTTAAATTATAATCCTCGTTGCACGAAGAAAATTCGCATTCATTATTTATGACATTGATTCGATCCATTCCCAAACAAGTTTGTATGCTCTCTGGATTCGTGAATGCGCGGGACCATATTGTTTCTACGTTTCATTTGCGGCTGTCGGCTTCCACTCTCGCTCTCGGCGAGAGATAACGGCGTAGGAGAGAGAGATGAGGGTCTCCCAACCAAGTATAATTATTAGTCACGCTGTGGTCAGGGAATGTATACCTGGATGTGGCCGCGGTCCGACCGAGACCAGCGTAGATTCCATGTTATTTCCGCTGATTACATTCATTATCGGATTTAAAGTTAGTAGACCCTTAGTTAAGAGCGTCTCGAACGTGTGTGTGTGTGTCTCGTTGGACCCGCCGAACCTATGACTTTGACTGGGACTCTTGACGCACGAACACGGTGAAGAAACCGACGAGAACCGTATATTAATTTTATTGAGCCACGCACGATTATTTCGAACTCTGCTGTTCGCGTCTTTTACCGCGTCTCGTATTTCATTATTTCTCGTTTCGCCAACGCGAAAAAAAATGTACATCATTGCTCCGAAACGACTAGGGGAAATCAAATCAATTAGATTGAATTTCGTATAAAATAAAATGACATCTCTAAGCATCTAGATACACAAAGTAATTTCAAATTAGTATCCATAACTGCGTTGTGAAAATTTTACATTAATATACATAGGATACAGGATAAGATTTTTCTTTTAAAAAATTTGCCATGCAAATTTCTTCAACATTTCACAATATAGGTATAGGTATGCAATTAAAATTTTGTTTAAACTAATATTCTGTTTAATAACAAAAAATACATTTATTTCATTTATTAATACTTCTGCAGCGTCGATGAAATATCAACATATTAGTTCAATATCTTTTTGTCAAAAGAAGTCTAAATTGGTACACAATTCTTATTATGTGAAATGAGACATAAAATAATAAATTTATCAACACTATACTACCTTATATCACTAACATAAAGAATCTCTTTGATGATAAATGTTCGTTAATTACCTATATCATTATTAATGATAATATCCGTTAATTATATCATTATTAATGATTGTTTATATACCTCTTATATGCATGTGTGATTAATGATTTGAGTTTGAAGCTACGAGAGAGACAAGCTTTCAGATATCACATGTCACAAATACTTGCGAAATACAGAGTCGCTTATCAGCGGTGGGATTGCTACGCCCACGCAAGATAATGCGAGAATCGCGTACGTGTATATACGGTACATTATCGAAAGTATTCCAAAAATAAGCATTCTCTCTCTTTTTCGCGTATACACGCGTTGTAAAACGTTTTATATTTTTCTCGTATATACGGCGGCATGATATCGTGAGTTAAAGAAAAAGTTTCAATCGAATCAGGTTAAAGAGTTATCGTCGGAATTTAAAATATTTTTATCTTCTGATTTTGACACGTCTTATGATTAACACATTTTTACTCTTATTGTTAGAAAAATTAAAGGAGAAATTAATATATTTTCTTCTAATAATAAACAGAAAATCATACATTCTGAGATTGTATATTTATAGAAGATTTAATTAACTATAACTCTTAATATTCCATATAATAATAATTACAATATATAATTTAATCTTTCACTCCTTCTATATTATAAATTCAAATTTATTTTTTTTTTAAATATTTTTTTAGATTTTATTTAGATTTAATAATATTATTATACAGTCATTTATTCCCTACTCTGCTATAATATATCGAACAAGATGAGTTTAACCTTCATCTTGCAAATGCATCAAAGCATGAAATGTTTCAATGAAATCTATGGCAGCATTCTTCCACGGAGCAAAGAAAACACTGATCGAACGATGATCATATTGACCCCGATCGATACAATTGCGGCCAATTGTCGATGTTCTCATTCCCGATCAATTGAATTTGCGGTGGGTGCTGAATAGGAAAACAATGTCGTATTAATACAGATACGAACAGCGCGATCAATGAGTAGCGTTCGAGACGCCCACTCTGGAAATTACACAAACAGTTGATAAATCTGGCTTTATTTAACTTTATTCATATGTAGACGAAATATTTTGTTCAGCATACTTTTTTAATCTCCAATTTCACATATTCTCATTTTTTTCTTTAAATTAACCGTGATAAACGAATACAAAAAAAACGAAGAGTAAAGATTTGAAAAAATGACGATAATTATTTTTTTATTTTTAAATATATAGCTATATATAATTTGTGAAAAGTGCGGAATTATAGAAAGAAATAATGTTAATGAGAGTTAATAAGATTTAGTTATTATAGTATAATATTTTAATTAAATATAAAATAATAATGTAATAAATTCATAAAAAATCATATTTATTTTTAAATATATTTCTAAAAAGAAAAATGTGGGAACAAAGTGTATCAGAAAAGTTAACTATATTAAATTCAAGAGATTAATTATTTTTATAATTAATTTTCTAACACACACAATTAGTGTATTCGCAAAGATGTAATTAATCGCGGAGGTAGGCACTATCAAACGCGCTTAAATAAAATAGAGTAAAACAACGTGTTGCATCGCGCGTGAAAAACCGTGACGTTATTAAATTCTACGATCAGCCTAATTATTATCGACGGGCTTTCTACGTGGGCTTCGAGAGCCGGTCTCGGATACGTCTCTCGAACAAGATGACGCCGGATAAACTCGTGGCCTGGCTGCACTATCGATACATTAATTAAAACATCGATGCTCCGACTGTGACTGGCAGTGAACTCACGCCCAGATTTGATCGGTCGAATATAACATCGCACTTTTATTTCGTCTCTGTTCTCTCCTCGCGCTTGACACATCTTGTTCTTTCTTTGCACTTGTTTCCGTCTTCTCCTATAAGCTCCATCAAGTTTCTTGCATAAATTAATCATTGTATCAGGAGTGGTTAGTCTGCTCAAATATTCAAAACTGTCATGTTTCAAATGATTTAGATTCTCTCCTCAGATTTTCACATCATCTTTTTGCTATATCAAGGGAATAAATTTATAAATTTGATTGATAAATATTTTTAAAATTCAATCACAATTTTTGCGATTACACTTAATGCTTTTAAGATGGAAAAAACATATTTGTAATAATTTTTTTAATTCAAAAAATTTAGAAATATATGATCATAATATAATTGTCTGCTAGTGTGATAAAAAAAATGATGTACCAGCATATTCGAAATTTAGTTTGAAATGCAAACATTCAGATGAAATCTGAAGATATTCTCTATAGACCTCGCCACCAGTTGCTTCGAAATTACATTACCCCATGTGCAGCTATGCTCAGCGTGGGACACGAATAAATCTCAACCCCCAGCGGACGTACCGGGGGCGGCAGCGGACGACTTCCGAGAGGGGCGCAGTGGCACTATGCGCTGTTCTACCCCCGGAGAAGGGCGCGTCTCCAAGGGAGGAGTCCGGGCAACGAGGATACCGAGAAGGCGGTGGAGGAGAAAGGACGAAGGGAGGAATTGCGGCGTGGGAACCTAGAGGGAGAGAAGCCTCGCCACCCTTCCTTGTTGGAAGGGGAACGGACAAGGGGGAAGGTGAATTTTGCAACCTGGAGAGATCGTCGACGACGAAAATCTACGTCGCCGCTTAGTCGTCTCTCGTTCATTGACACGCGTGGGTTTGTTTTTCAATCTCGGGATCACGCGTCGGCGAGTTGTTCAGGTGTGAAAGAGGACACGTTCCTTCCGGGTGCTAATATATTTCGAATAGTTACATTAATTTACGCGATTTTTCATAAATACGCTTGACAATAAATATCAATTTACTATGCGGGAAAATTTGGTGTTTTCATTGTTCATATTTTCACATCGGTGACTTTATGCAAGAATGTCGCGTGTTTTTAATTTTCAAGTAATCGGGTCGCCCTTTTTTTATTAATACGTTTCGATATTTTATGACATGCATGTCGGGGAAGTTGCCAAATTGCTACCTGTATAAAAATTTCTCACCATGGTGGAGGTGATACATCCGACATATGTGAATGAGGAGCGGAATTTTAAAGCGGTAAGTACATTGCGTGTAAAAATAGCTCATTGGCCAAATTATTCATTATATCATATATTGTGTCACACTTCGGAAATACTTGATAATTTCTCTGTGATAAAAATTAGCATTATTATCCGGAGAAGGATTCTTATCGATGAGATGATATTTCATATTTTACTATTATATATTTTTACATTTTATACGCTAACTGCTAATCCCATAAGTGAAAAAATGAAGGACATGTAACCATATGATAGGCATTTCATCACAATCACCCTTACAACAATTTGGTTCGCAATTTATTCTGCATTCGTTCTTCCATATTTCATCAAGCACATTATTAAGCAATTAATTAACAGATTAAAATACTGCAATGCCTGATTATTCGTATCGGTCGCAGTATTAATTTCTCGGACGTATAAGGTCCGCGTAAAAAGCGATCTGTGCACCGCGAGACGTTTCAAAAGTAACCACGTGTCTGAAGGAAGCCGAGAAGAATTTTTTCGCGAACTAGACGAGAAATCGACGTATAGTATCGCTCGAAGGAGATCGAGTGGTACGGCGCGAATGAGAGGCTGGCCGGTCCAGAGAGAGAATCGTGTATATAGAAAAAGGAGGAACGCGCGCACAGGATGCCCGATGTGAAGAGGAAGGAGAGGGTGCCCCGTAAGAGAGAGGGGCCCGTACCCCCACTTTCATCTGACCCTCTCTCCCCCTACCAAGACTTGTGTCGCGTGTCCCATCTCCCACTCCTCTCCTATCGATACACACAACACCGACACTACCGTCACCGCCGCTGCCGCGAATCGGATGTATCAGCGCATATACATAAACGTCAATGTATGTGTATGTATCTGCAAGTGGTTTTGCTGCAGTTGGTGGCGCGTTCATTCTGATGGAAGACACGGTTTGATCGTTGTGCAAGAGAGAGAAAGAGCGAAAGAGGGGGTGGTCTGCGCGATCAAGAAGGGTGGTGGGTTGAAAAGGGGGGATTTGTCGTGCGTGTCGAAGATGCACACGCGCGCGGCAGTGTGTTGGCGTGTGGTGGAGAGAGATCTCGAGGAAGAGAGAAGCAGACGAAGAAGAGAGAGGTGACTTCTCTTCTCAGGGGCCTTAGTCGCCGACTGTCCGCTACTACGTTCGGTGTTACACCATCATCATCGTCATCGCGTTTGACTCTCTTTCTCTATCTCTCTCTCTTTCTTTCTTTCGTTCATCGCTCTTCATCCTTCCTTTATCCCACTCTTGCTCTTTCTGTCTCTCTCTCTCTCTCTTATCCGTTGCGGCGCACACACCATTGATCTCAGTCATTTTCGTGCATCCCACGTGAAGATCACGCCTCGGAGCGAGTGTCCTATTCAAAATTCTTGAAGCGATTATCACGTGTCCTAGAAATATCCGGAAAAACACTCGGCACAATTGGATCAGTCGAGTCTTGAAAGGGGAATTATCAGAGAGGAAGAAATGTTTCCGACCATAAGCTTCATCATGACAGAAGATTATCATCTATGAGAGCGTAATCTGTAGAAAGAACTCTCCTCGAGAGCTTAAGATATCGAGAAGTTTCGTAATCATGATTTGGTTTTCAACACAACAGAGATAATATTGAACCGACGGTATCCTCGAAATGTCGTGAGATTTGTCTGTTGACAAAATATTCATTTTCATGATCAATTCGCGACGACATTGAATATCGGAGTATAAACAAGATCATTAGCATTAAATTCCCAAATATACCTTTCACTATGAGAACGCTGACATTGTCGAAAATATCTCGGTGTTTTTCTTTTCTCTCACACAATAAACTATGAATATGACTGTAATTCAAATTGATCGGTGTTTTGAGAGAGACGCAGGTTAAAGATTTCATGACAAAAAAACGAACAATTATCAATCAGCTTTTGAACATACCTTTCTTTTTCGTGGAAACGAAAATTGGCCTGTTTGAAAGGTGAGATTCGCAAAGTGTAAAATCAGAATGATATGAATCCGAAGTGAAGTGGAGACTACAAGGTGTGGACTGAAGTGTACTGGCATTGAAAAGTGCTCTCCATCATCGCCATCATTCAACGACCGTCGACAAACGGATTCACGCTGCCATCTGCACGAGAGGTGAGAGATCGTCATGATAATACTTTCTTGCAAATCTCAGATTGATATGATTGTTGTTAATTCTGTCGTTTCAATCGCATTTAATATACTTACATTATATAATTACGTAAATAACGAAAAAAATTGCAAATCATTCCCTAAACTACAATGTTTATACCTACATTGTTAATATATTTTGATATTAAATTATATTGTAATTCAAACTTTAACTAAATATATGCGCTTTATTATGAAAGGGTTCCTAATAACTTTAAGTAATTAGCGATTGAGAAATCAGCGTTCACAATTACGAGCGTCTCTTCATTTACATTTAACTAATATCATTTGATTTAATTGCAAAACATATAATCACTATTCACGCGAATTTGTTCTATTTATGTGTGCACATTTATGTATTGTATCATTTAGAATTACTCTTTAACTATATTCGACATTTTTCTGAGTTTCATTAATAGGATAGAATAATGAATTCCTATTAACATTATGAGAGGCACTTAGACGTCACCTGTGTGTCGGAGATATCGGTAGAAGATATAACGAAAGTTAGTTTACTAATTGCACCGAGACGACGGAGGTGAGGTGCATCCGCATTCGACGCAACAACGCAAGTCATTAGAGAGAGAAGCGGTCGTTTGCCTTATCGCAAGAACATTGATATTCGACGTTTCGTATATCTTGCATCACAAAATTATATTTATCAATCTTTAATTACGTTGACAATAATTAAATCGCTTCTTTTATTCACCATTTGTACATGTGTCAACTAAATGTCAGTTCAGCAACAACCAGGCCCGACGTAAAACTGTCAGTGAAACGATAAGTGTGCGGTTTAAATTTATGAATGTTTTCTCGATGAAACATGCATTTGGTAGAAATAAATCTTCGAATGATATCATTCACAGGGGAGAAAATGTTGATAGAGAAAGAGTGCACATGTACGTACTTATATTGGTGTTCGCTCGCTCGCGCGTTTAATGAGTGCTAATAAAAATATTTAATAAGCTACCGCGCCACAATAATTAATTCCGGCAATAGCATTAATCGTTGGCCATCGGGGCGGCAATTATTTTTGAATGTACCGCCGTTACGCGTTTCGTCGTAAAACTTGTATACTACCGGCGCTTTTTTCTTACTCGATATCCCGTAGCGGTGTAAAACAGATGGTTCTCTCGAAAAGAGAGGCGCGGGTTTATCGTGCATATAAACGGAACCTATTTTCAGAGTACTTGAGTAGCCAGGATAAAATATTATCCGAGATTTTCTACACGCACTAGTTAAAAAAAGTTTAATTAAGAAAATAATTGCACTATATATATATATATATATATATAACTTTTATTTATATTTACTTACATTTATTTATACCTAAATATAAATTAAATATATCTTTTAATATTAAAAAATGTTAGATTTCTTTATCAACATATTATCAATTTATTACTATTGATTTTTTTATCATCATTTACGAAAGTTCCTGAAAGACTTTTAAAGATACATAGTTTGTCTAATTGCAGCAAAGATGGATAACGCACTATTTGTAAGCGTGAACATCCGTAAAAAAGTCCTTAATATTTTATACTGTAAGACGTAAGACTTTCCTCCATGAATTATCGCAGAGACAGAGAACCGTATAAATCACGCGTGAGTATGCGGAATAGACAGAAAAGAAGTGAGAGGTGCACACATTACATACAGATACACCGTGTAATATGGACACGCTGTCGTACAATAGCAATAGCTCGCGTATGCAAGTGTTATAACACACGTGCGATTCGGTACTTACATAATTCGCGTACGTTACAGGTAGTAATGCGGGTAGTCGACATGCAATCCGCTCATTCTTTCGCAGTAGAAATTGATTGCATCTGATACGGGCAGTAGCCCGTAAAAGCACGTCAGTACAAATAGCTCTGGGAGAAGGAAAATAGACCATTTCTTCGCTTTGCAACGCGCGGAAATCACCTTTTAACCTCTTTTCTTCTTCTCTCTCTCTCTCTCTCTCTCTCTCTCATGTAATATATCTTTTACATAGACATTTATATCTCTATATTGCTTTAATATAAGATGAAGGAGATTGAAGGAAACGAGATTATTTATATATTCCGTTACTTACTTTAATATTATATATATATGTATGTATGTATAATAATTTTTTAAGAGCTTAAAAAATCATTTCAAAACAATTTTTTTTCTTAGCTATCATTTAAATTTATTTCAAATTTAAGTACAAACTATAACACATTTCATAATTTTTTACTCTAATTTTCTACTTAATCTCCATAGTTTCGCACATTTTCAGTTTTGATTATTTCTTGTTAATCATATAGTTAAGATTAATTTGCAAATCAAAACTTGTTTCCATCTTATACGAGATGTTTAATTTTATAAAATAATTTGTCACTCGAGAACACCGAGAATGTAGCAAAACCTTTTCAATTAGTAACCCATCTGATAGATTCATTATTCTAACATTGCTTGCATCCAGCAGTTAGGCTAGTCTTTATGCATTTCTCCTTTTCGGATCAAAACGACCTTTCTTACACGTGCGTTCAATCCATTCATCATTTTCACATTCGTAGTACTTTGTGCAGTCACATTCGTGAGCCTTTACCTCGCCGTCCTCGCATTTACGGTTTCGATTATCACAAATCCCGCCTTTTGGATTTTTCACGCACTCTTGACACGTGCGACTAAAGCGTTTATTCTTAGCACATTTTTTCGGTTTTGGTTTACCATTTACGCATTCATAATACGATTTATTATTGGAGTCATCTGGATTAGATATCTTTGGATTAGGCGGTATGCATTTGTCCTTCTTGTAATTCTTCGGACAACTTTCGCAACCAGCATCCCATGGCCAATCGCAAACTTGTAAGCGTCTGTTGTAATGCAATCTGTTCTTCGAGCCACCCATTGTCAGAAACGGAACCCCGGAATAAGGACACTGCATCAATACTGGTCGACCCCAAGAACATTTGTAGAATTTCGTGCAATCGGTCTCATGCGGTAGATTGGTCGCATATTTCTCAGGATATTTGCATACTGTAACAGGACAGCCTAACTTCCATTCCTCTGCGCTGATCACGGTCCAGCATGCCGACAAGGCGATAGCGAATACGTACAGATCTGTGAGAAAAATTATTGCTGAGCTCTCAATTATGCGGTATAATGAAATCGTGATTTAATCGACTTTTATTATAAGAGAAGAATGTGTTAATTATTTATAAAAATTTAAATTGATGAAACAACTTTCAGTATAATAATATTAGCATATATCGATAGTTTAATTGTAGAAATTTCAGCGCTTACCCTTCATCGCCTATCGTCTAGACGATCCCTCGTTCGAAAAAGAAACAACGTATCGCGTTCGTTTCCTTAACGCTTCTCTCAATTCGTTTAAATGTTTAACTGACTGAATTCAAATAAATCGGCTTTTATATACGTATCGTTATCACACGAAATCTAACACGAACGCAGATTATCATATTTATCTAAAGATTTTTTTGCCGTTCCGGAAGGACGGATTATTGGCATTATTCATCCGCAAAAAAAGATTACGGGACACGATATATATAATAGATATGATGGCCAATTTTCGTCGGTCGTGAATTGATAGTTCAGATAATATGATAAAAAGTTATAAAAATTTTTTTATTTTCTTCTGTTTTATCTTTAAATCTTATTTCAATCAAATATGACACACACAGATATATACATATACATACATAGAGACATATACACTCACATACGTAATAAATTAATAAGGTGCAAAAATAAGTAGCATAATTTAGTATAATTTTAGTATAATTTTTCTCGATTTAATAACACAGACAAAATATATAAAATATTTTATTATTTAATAAATTCTTAGAGACATTATGTTGTTTGCAATTGATTACGCAAATTTAGAAGTTTGATAACTTTTTATCAGTCCAAATCTTTCGAAAAATTTAATCTGAATCGACCTTTGGCATAATATTATCAAAGAACGCAATCTAAATTATACTTATATCTATATGTATACTATACATATACTGATATCTATATGTAAAAGATATGATCATTAAAAATAAAATTTTATTCTATATATCTGACTAAAACGAGCGGATGTAATGGATTAATTCTGCGAGTGCAGCAGGATGTCGCCGCGCACGAATGATATATAGACATAGAACATTTTAAAGTACAATGAAATACGGTCAATGCGACGTATCATCCGTCGTCGAGAAATTCTGGACCTGATGACATTATAATTCTGACCCGATATTCCAATAGCATGACAAGTGGCCAACTGTTCTGTCGATAAAGTTTATTGCTATATTATATGTACCTTAAAAGAAATACTCAAAGTTGGTCGTACATGAATAAACATCGTATACGATCCTTGTTAAACATAAGATTATTTCATTTATTAATTGTCAATTATTATTAAAATGTAAAGAATAATCACTATAATTATAATCAATCTATTCACAATGAATATATATTAATTGATCTTTTAACAATATATTGCTGAGTCTCTTTTCAAATTTTCTCGTAACATATATAAAAGATAAATAAAAATATAAATAATTAGGAGAGCAATAGAAATATAGAATTAAATCAAGATATAAATGTTAAAGTAATATCAATGCAGTCTCTTTGATCCCCAATGACATGAAATCGTCATTAGCATTGTGACATTATTTATTGTGACAACTGACGAGAATAAAATATATTATATAATATATTTTAATCTACTTCTAAAATAATATATTTTATTCTACTTTGTATATAATGAGTTCATTCTACAATAAATAATCTTTATTGGAAAAGGAAACTGCGGACACAGCGCGCAATTAATAATGATACAATGTCACAATTCTCAAAGAGATTTCGCCATCGATTGATTTCTTATTCATTTCGTCGTGTCATGGCGTACTGATACATAAACAAAATTGTAAACGCGAAATACAACGAAGTGAAAGTCGTTTTAGTCGGACTTGTCTCACCGGATCTATTATTCTTGATTTATTAGCAATATTGTATGACGATGACGACGTTCGATACGTCATTTATTTGCGATATATCAATGCCGTAAAGAAATTCCAATATTATCGTACATGCTAACAACAATTAACACTCAAGCTTATTGTGATAATAGATAATAGATATATCTATATATCTATATCTATTATCTATTATCACAATAAGCTTGAGTGATAATTGTTGTTAGCATGTACGATAATATTGGAATTTCTTTATGGCATTGATATATCGCAAATAAATGACGTATCGAACGTCGTCATCGTCATACAATATTGCTAATAAATCAGGAATAAAAGACCCGGTGAGACAAGTCCGACTAAAACGACTTTCAAATCAAATAATATGAAAAGCACTAATGTGTGTGTCAATTATTGAGTGTCAATTTATAAAAAGAAATCGTCAGAACTTTTTAAAAATATGACCATTTATATATCATTTATCAATTCAAAACACCTGTGTTCCTATAAAAAATACATTCTCTATACATATTGTGATTCAGATACATATGAAAAATTTAAAACTTGTGTATATATATATATATATATTTTTTTTTTATCAAGTTATATAATATTTCATTTTAAAATTTTTAATTATTTCATTATCTTGACATTATATTACTTTCTTGATAAAATGCTTCTCATCATTTGCAAAATTTGACAAATCTAAGACTGATCGATTTTCTATAATAAATTCCAAGATCAACAAAGTTGCACTCTACGTTTCGATATGATCTATTGTAGAAACGCCATTCGTTCATAAGTCCCCATGCGATTCCAGTTATCTCGTTGAAGCGGGCTGCCGCTTGACGGCAATTTGTTATCGGCGGATTTATTGCATCTAAGCGGCTGTCGAGGAACGTCGTGGTAAACGAAAGTATCTATTCAGGATTGCGATTTCTGTCGACAGTATGTCAGCTTATAGCAAGAAAATTTCAACGCACAACACCTTAACCCTTGCACCTACCATAGCGTAGCATCTAAGGGCTGTAATATATAGAACTTGTGTGTGCGTGCGTGAATGCGTGCATATGCACACATATACAGCTCTTTCGTGTGCCCATACGCGCGCACGCACATCTGTACGTACGTCTTACGAATTGGATTACGTGCACGCGTCATACGTATAAATACGTTCCATGCCGCGATCATACGCGTATATGCGTGTACGCGTTTGCCCTAGAGGAGACAGATGCGTAGCGCGCACGCATTTGCGTTCTTGGCACGCGAGCACTTTCGTGCGACTCTTTTCTCTCGCATGACAGACTCTCCGAGCGATTCGTTCAATGAGATAAAGTCTTAGGATAAATTACATATATTCGTGTAACTATAAAAGAAAGACTATAAGTTGTTTTTTATTTTTTTGCGAACTTTAAATTAATATTTTTGCATCTAATTGATTTTTTTTTTAAATTTAATGATAAGAAGTTGAATATAATATAAGATAAGATATTGATTTGCAATGTACAATAAATCAGATAGACAATAAAACACAAAATTTCCCGGAAACAAAATTCAACTATCTTGATTTAAATTCTTCCATTAGGGTCCGATTGCACCAACATTATTTTAGTTTTAAGTGAAACTTACATATGTATCTATCTTTGTCTTTCTTTCTAAATAAATAAAAACAAACATATATTTAAGTTTTGCTTAAAATCAAAATGACGTTAGTGCAATCGAGCCTAAGTCGTATATAATAAATTATTTTAATAAAATAAAAGAGGAGCAGAATTATGCACATTATTTTTCTATTCTTTATTTTCTTTTATAATTTTTAACTTTCCTCTAATATTTGTATATTTCGGTTTCTTATCAAACAATATATTATACAAAATCATCTCAATACACTATCGATTCTTCATGCATCTCAAGATGTTCAAACAGAACTAAATCAGATCACGTCATAATTAGAAGACAAAATCGCTGCGCATTATTCATCATAGTCATGGAAGATGGATCCGATTTATATATATATATATATATATATATAAAGAGATCCATACGCGAGAGACACGTGCCGCGGAGAAATCGCAACTTCGGTGGAGCAGCTGGCGAGACGAGCGAAAAGAAACGTCGAGGAGTTCTCTGGTCTAGTCCTAGATCCGTCTCTAGACAGACGAACGGATGGTCAGACAAGTAAAACAGACAAGCAGAGAAAGAGAGGGAGAAAGACAGATCGCCAGACAGAGGGCCCAAGGACCCACGACTATGGTTAGCACGTGCCCCATTCAAGACGCCGTTCTGGGGACCCTCCACCCTCGTAACTTAGCCTAACCTAATCCAACCTCCTTCTAGCCGGGGCTATTCAACTAGTGACGAGACCGAGGCTCTTTGTGACCCGATCAAAGTAGCGCTAGTCCTCGCCGTCGTCTCGCTTCCTTTCACGCTTTTTTATCGCGTCGCGCGACATCAGGAAGTTATAACGTCCGCTGCCTTTCGATGGTGCCAAAGGCGGTCCGCTCTCGAAACTGAAGAAGGCTAATCAGCGCGAAATAATAGAACAGAATATAATAATAAAGATTGGAAAGTGTGATATGTTTTTTGAAATTTTTGTGTTTATTAATTTTTGATATCACAATGCATCGCGATAAAGGAGCTATTAGAATCCACACTTCACAGAATATCACAAATCTAGACACGTATATAATTCAAAAGAAAGATTTGATAAACAGATTTTATCCATTAATTTTTCAAGCACGAAATTGCTATTATAAATTCTATTTAATTTAAATAACATAATTTATCTTTTAATCTACATCAAAACAACATTATTGATAATAATAAATCATATTTTGATAATAATGCACCATGTTTGGTCTTATGTATCACTTAATAAAAAATCTGATAGAATATATGTATATAACTCAATATAAAGAATTAAGATTAAATCACGACTCTGTAATATATTAAATATAAATTACAAATAATATTACCACATTGTTCTTACAAATAAGAAAGTATAATCGATAAAAAGAGATTAAATTTCAAATTGTCTCACACCCAATATCATACAATGATAATAAGTCACGTATATGAGTAATAAGATAAGAAGAATCAGGAAAAATCCAAATATCGTGCAAATAATTTGTCAGTTTCCTCATAAACCGCAAGAGTTAACTACCTTCTGCCACTGTATTACAAATCGTGTCTTCCAGCTGTGCACAGTCAATCGTGTCGTCGTTTCTCTTTTTCTTCAAAGAAAATTCGGTTTTCCGATCGTAAGTGCCAATTTGTCAGAATGTCGTGGACAAACGTTTAACTCGCGTAACCGCCCTCGCACATAAATCAGGAAAAGAATATTAGCTTCAGGTTCGGTCGTATAAATGTCTTCACACGCCCTTCAGAGCGCTAGGGGGTTGCTT